AATACCCCTGACTCGATGAAGAATATTTCTCTCCACAAGATTCCTACTGTGACGTCATGGCGCCCAGTCTCTCTTTGCTTGGCCAGACATTTTATCTGCGGATTATAGAGCTTGATAAAAAATTCAGAAAAGGGCAAAATACCACAAATGCTGCAAAAACATGTTTAAGAGTCATTATATTTTGATATAGAATAGACAAAAATAAGATTAAAGAAAGAAAATCCTAGTCTGTAAAAATCATTCAAAATGTTCAGGGATTTGATGCATTTGATCTTCAACTTAGAACTACTAATGCACATAATATAACATATAACACCATCATACCACGCCCTCAATAAGCTGCCTGAAGTAACGATGAGCTTGTGACAGAGACATTCCAACATCTGGTTCTATAGAAAATTGACATTAATTTACTTATGCCCTATCTGATTATGTACATGTTGGTTAGTTGTTTACTATTTCAAGCAGAAAAAGGAACATATTTACTTGGAATGTATGAAAACGATCCTTGCAGTAATGAACCCTACTTATGTAGTAGTGGAAATAAGGCCTGAAAAAAATTCAGGCTTGCATGGGATTTGAACCCATGACCCTTGCAATAATGGTGCAGTGCTCTCCCAACTGAGCTAACAAGCCAATTGGGAGCTGGTCACTATGTTGGTTCGTATTAAACCCGTTGAAGTGATGAATCAATTAATTCGAATATATGAAAATCATATGTCTGCTGTGGTTTCATGAAATGTATTAAAGCGACCCTCGTAGTAATGAACCCTTCTTATTTAGTAGTAGAAAAAAGGCCTCAAAAAATTCACATTTAAATGTACTTGGCCTCTTCACTTTTAATTCAATTCAAACATGCATACGTGTACATTCCCATGGACTTTGATGTGCCCACAGTGTATGAACACAACAAAACATTAAAATCCACTCAAAAGATTCTGTATTATAAAATAATAATTAAAAATATCACAAAAAAAAAGAGGCACAGTCATGTTGCACCCACCCCACCCCATGTGCTCCCCCTAAATCTCCTCGTATTGCACAGGGGAAGGAGAAGGATTTAAGGTGAAATTTTCCTCCGGATAGGTGAGGGAAACATTAGCCAGCGAAGATCAAATCACATTCTGCTGTTTATATTTAGCTAACCTATTCTGTCAAATAATTCTCCACCCCCGGCGCACTCCAAGAACAGATACTGTTTCTTCCCTTCAGTTCTCTGTCCGTAAAACCGAATAACATGAACATCTTGGAGCATGCGATGAATACAAATCTGCAAACATAATAAGTCAAAATATAAATTACAAATACTTAAGCGTGCACGTGCTACTTTCGAATGTACTGCACTAAGCTAATTCATCAGTGATCTTCGCTCAGTTCTCTCACATCAATTGTCGCGATTTGAATGAACTCCACTCACCTCTTTCCTAACGTTGTCATAGCAATCAGCAGCTTTCTCTAACTCAATAATTTTCACAGCAATCGCCTGCTCTGTTTCTCTGTTCACTGCCAGTTTTACTCTAAATATAGAACAGTAAAGAATCGAAGATAACGCTTCATTCATCTATTTTGTTCACAATAACGGCAAATTCCGGATTCGCGACACTTACTCGCCATAAGCACCTTCACCCAGCGTCTCAACAAAATCCCACCCTTCAACAAAAGGTGTCATCCTAAAATTAGAATGAGATCAACGCTCGAAATTTCTCGTTTTCACGAGTTACAACTTCTAAGCCGCCATGATGTAATGCAATGCTGATGAACACAAATTTCGCGCGCTCTTCCAAGCCACTAGTCACGTGCAAAATAACACCAAATATGGATATGCTCACCTGAAGGAACATGTCAGCCTCCAGTTAGTTGAATTTCCTCTTCTTCGTTATTAGATGGGATATTTTTCAGTTTTTTTATCCCTTTAATGTGTTATTTTTCAGAATTCCGTATCGCATTGATTCAGCTTGCAGTAACTACAAACAAGGCTCAGAATTTGCTGCGTGCCAAAGACAAGATCAAAGAAGCAGTATCAAACGGAGCGAAGATTGTTGCACTGCCGGTAATATATTCCTTTCAGAGAAATTTCCATGCTAAAATTGTTTAAAAAGTGTTATGAGAGACTCGTGTAATCGAATAGCAACTCGTATAATGGTGGTTTTTTGGAGTCAAATTGGGTTTTTCGGTAATCCTTTGATAGGATGACTGGCCAGGGGAATCTTATACCACCCTTTGAAAGGGGAGTGTCCTTGCAAGGGGGGCAATCTGAAGCACTAAGCTTTGACAAAATACCTTAAAACCCATTCTGTTAATGTTCTATAGAAGTAACACTGAATCACTCTTTTAGGTAAACATTATCATTATTATAATAATGGTTCTATGTAAGTTTATTGACATACCTTTTAAGGTTAGTCCAGAAATGATTTGGTAATAGTCCATTTTACAGTTGTGTGCTTGGTTACCAAGCCTTTGAACGGGAGTGAGGCTAGGGATGACCTTGTTATGATACAAACCTCGCTGCCTTTCAAATGTAAATCACTTTGTTATCATGCTAACTAGATACAGGTCTCTATCACAACAAGGTCATCTTTAGCCTCACTCTGAATCAAAGGCTTGGCAACTAAGTACACAACTGTAAACAGAGAATTTGGTCTTAGATCAACTAATAATCTCCCTGTTGATATTTTTCTTTATTCTTGTCTCTTGTCTTCTTGATATTCTCTTATTATTATATGGCTGTGTCTCACAAGGACTGGGAACTACCAAATTCAGGAATTGGATTAGCTGAAATCAATATTGAAAGCGGTCTAGATAAAAAAGGTACAAAGAATATAAAAAATTGACATATAAGACACAGCCATATAATAAACATCTTATTAACCGAGCTAGGTCGGTCTGTATGGGAGAATCTTAACCTCAGTCGCTGGTACAGACTTCACTGCGTTTGGTCTGTACTGATGACCTCGGTCAAGATTCTCCCATACAGACCTCCCGCTCAGTTAATAATAACTAAACACTGTAGGAGAAATCCTGCCTTGATCACTCATCATAGTAAAAGGGTTAACAATATCTCCTTACTGAATTTCAAATTCTCTCTTTCAGCAGGGAGTATTATTCTAATTTCCTGTTATCTGTTGAATACAGTTTGGTTTTTTTTTATCCTTTACTAACTTAAAAGGATTTTTTTGAACAGATATAACATATTTTTTGTAGGTGCATTTATTTGATATTGATGTTCCTGGTAAAATTCGCTTTCAAGAATCAGAAGTTTTGTGCAGTGGGAAACAGCTGACAATGATGGATACTCGTATGTTGATTTAACCTTCAAGTTGTTATCTTTGTTCATTATTTAAACTGTTACTGCTCGCTTAATTTGGGTTGCAGCTGTTGTTGAAATTCTTTTTGTAAAATTATTGTTTATGTTGCATTCATCTAACCTGAAATCATGTTATTTATCTGGCAGCTTTCTGTAAAATGGGAATTGGTATCTGCTATGACATAAGGTTTCCTGAGATGGCTCAAGTTTACACACAGCAAGGTGAATGTTGATCATTATACAATTGTAGATCATGGAAAGAGCTATTAAAAAAAGGCGGGCAAGACTACTGGCTAACGAGCCATCTTCAGCCAACTACTTTCACCTCATTTTATAAGTGTTGATAGAATAAAGAAAAGTTATTGAGGTGCTTTGGAAGAAATTTGTACAGCGGTCATTTTTCAGTTTTGAGTTTAATTTGATGAATGATTTACTAGTTACAGGTTTTGATGTGTGTTCACGAGAATTGATTCTACATTCAGAAATTCCCTGAAGCTTTCTGTGAACTTCATAGAATGCCTGAAACTTTTCAACCGATTAGTTCTCAGTCTTTTATGCAATCAGATGAAAGGCCACAGCATACATGATAACCTAGCTGCCTACCAATCCTTTTTTGCTTCCATAATCCTACTTTTAAACTTTTCAATAGCCTGGCAATTATCCCCTTTTTTCATGAAAGTGTTGTTGTCATTATGTTGCTAAGTTGTGCCAATTGGAAACTTGCAGCTCCTCAGATTGGTTTAAGATCTGTTGTTTAATTTTTATTTTTATTTTTATTTTTATGTATTTAATTAAAAAGACATTTACTTATTGACAATAATTACTTCTTTTAGGCTGTAAACTGCTATTTTATCCTGGAGCATTTAACATGACTACAGGACCAGCTCATTGGGAACCACTTATTAGGGCAAGGTGAATTTATTTCTTTGCAGATTGTGGAGTATAGTTGAAGATTTTAAAGAAAAGGATGCTCTAGAGAGTGTGCAATTTTCATCTCTCCATTTGAATTGCCTTAACTGCTTAAAAGTTATCTTCAAATGTGTTAAAAGATTCCACCATCTTGAAAAATAACTCAGTTACTTGCTCTCACCGTACTGACATCCCAGGTCAGCCTGCTCTGGTTGTCACTTGAATTCTGATGTAGAATGTTCTAAAAACTAAACTGACTCTGTTTTTATTTACAGGGCACTGGATAATCAGGTCAGCAAAATTAAATTCCCAATTTTTGTAAATTGTACTGACCCTTGTTCAGTTATTAATATTAGCAATACATATATTAGAATCATAATGAACATATCAAACACAAATTATGAATTTCAACTTGTCTTTTCTTTTTTTCAGTTGTATGTAGCCGCTGTGTCTCCAGCCAGGGACGAAAAAGCAACATATGTTGCCTGGGGTCACAGTACAGTGGTCAATCCATGGTAAAAATCAATTAACCTGTTGACCCCCAAGAGTGACTAGAATATAATTTCTCCTTACAATATCCGTCCTGAATAAAACATTATTAGTATATACTAAAACAGTGGATAGCATTGAAGGCACGCTCTGATTGGCTAGTCAAACTCTGAATATCCTTTGCTATTTACCTCCAAGCAACTTGGGAAAAAATGGTGTCCTGGGTTGCATCCATGACAAGTGAAGAAATCACTCAAATCAGTTTTTGGTGGTGTATATTATCTAACTGTTTTAGTATGTACTAAAACAACTATTCATCTCAGTGCCGGTGGTTAGCGGTGGATGTGTACCAAGCCGTGAAGCAGCGAGGTAAATATTCACCACTAACCACCTCCACTTCAGTGAATAGTTGTTAAATATCGCAAGAATAAGGGAAGTTATTGAGAAAGCTGTTGATTGTTAAACAAATTCTCCTTGTCAGCACCTTAGGAAATGTATAAAGAAGAGTATGGAGAATGTCCACATTGAGGTTAAGGTGAAATGGGTTAAGCACTAATTATGGAAAAAGAACACAGTAGGGATTGTAACAGTGAACAGGTCATTTGTAAGCTTGTGATTTGGTTTATCACCGGTCAAAGAAAGATGCAGCTGGATGAGTACAGAAATTGTGTTTTGATAATCAGGAATTTTTTTGCCTTCAATTTCATGTGTATTTTGGTTGTGTTTGTGTTTTCCTTTTTTGGTTCCTCTGAGATTTCTCCTCCTTTAAAAAACACAGAATCAGAGTTATTTCTGGTTACCTGAGAAAGCTGGAGATCAATTAGGATGATTACTGTTTTTCCATTTCTTTGATAGTCAGTTGTCATTAATTCCTTACTGAATCGAATTTCCTTTTTTAAATGACATAAATCATCTGTTATTTATCATAAGTGGTTTAGGCTTTGTCACTTTGATTTTTATTGATAAAATGATAATGCATTTGGGATTTTTTTTCCTAGGGGTGAAGTGATTGCCAAAGCAGACCATACTGAGAAAATCCTATATTCAGACATAGGTAGGTTTGTTTTTGCACAATTAGAACAGCCTTCTTTTAGATTTTATTTGTTCAGGATTGATTACATGAATCAAGGAACAAAAAATTAAATAATTTTGTTATGGCTCAAGTAAAGATGTTCAGAGACAGATACTACATCTTTTGATTTTATATTATTCTTGTAGCAGAATTAATTGTATGAAATTGCAAAACTTTGATGTCCAATTGGTCTTTCCACTTTTATTGCAGATGTTAACTATCTTGAAGATATTCGAGCCCAGATTCCTGTTCAGCAGCAAAAAAGGAGTGATTTGTACAAACTAGAAATGCCATCGTGAGGCTGAAATTTATTTATGGTGGAATAATGGTCTACGATCGCTGATGGACCAGATGTTGGGAACAGCAACTTCTCAAATTCTTCCAAGGTCACCTCTGTCCCATAGTAAATGCAAAAATGTAAATGGTGAATTTAGTAACATTTTGGAAAAGGGGTCAGGGTAGTATTTTTGAAAGCAATATAAAATTAATGTTGAACAAATGTGAAGGAACTGAATTTCAAAAAACAATGTTGCTAGATAGGAAAAAATGTGTTGGGAAGAATTTGTGTTATCTATATTTTGGAAATGATAGCTAAGAGGAAGTGACTAATAGAATTGTGTTGAACCATTGACTGTATTGAAGCAGTATAAGAAATTATAATTATTAATATAATAATGAAGTATTTCTCTTGTTTTGTACTGGGTGTTGTCACCTAGCAGTGACTCTAACAGACTCTTCTTTTTCACGTGTGTTTGGACATCTTTATGCTTTTAAGAAATTTTGCTGAAATGTTGTCATTAAGGAAGACATCAGCATTCAACTGTAAAAGCTGGTCCACTCCTGGCCAAAACAAGTGCCAACTGGGTCAAGTTAAGCTTCAAAGCTTTTATGACAAGGGTTCTTATTTTAAAAAGGAGTTGAAATAAAAGAACGTTATTATGAAAAAGTCCTTCAGCCGTTGAAGCCCGGCAGCCAATCAGGACATAGAAAGACCCCATGTGTTAATGTGGCGCCATTCCGTTTGATGAACTGAGCCGAGGCTGAACACTGCCTAAATTAAAGCTAACATTTACAGTGTTCACTGAGAGTTTTCACAGTTTTCTGCGTCATCACCCGCTAACTGGTCACCAGTCTACTGGACACTTTTAAGACAAAAATAAGTGCACTTAAGGGCCCGAAAAACCGACTACGAATTTTTTTGAAATTTTTCTTCTATCGGAATTGGTTTGTACAGAAGATAAGCAAACTAAATACGCCAAAAAAAATTGTGTCATAGGCACTTAAAAGACGTTACTCTTTTAACCTCCTAAGTTGAACGCGTACCTCTATTAAAATTTTAAATGCAAATATTGAAGGAGACCCAAAATGGGCTGATTTTCTCTCAGAAAACATTACCAATCATCAGTAGACGAAATATCAGATGTTATTTCTATTTGTTGGAACTCGTGCGCAAACGTCAACATAAACAGAAGCATTCCTCCACACATGCTCCATTCCGCAACATTTGATATCACGTGGTAAAAGTATCCCGGATCTTCAGGACTCCACTTGAGTTTAGCCAAGAAATGATAACGAGGCCGAACTTGGTCCCATTCCCAATTCGCCTTCGTCTGGCACGCACCAAATATCACCACACAGAAGGTTATGAGGAGGGAGACCATGACTCTGGAGTGACACACAGCTGAGCTGTTGATGACACCGTGATCTCGAAGCTTATAAGACATTGCGCATTGTAACCAACAGTATGAAAGCCCACTGAAAAAAGCTGTCATTGCGCCGATGTCGTGAATGGACCAGTTCTGAAGAGTATAAAAGTATTTTTATCTAACTCCGTAAAACTAAGTAATCGTTAGTACATGCACTTGATGTCCGTGCCCAAGACGACTTTCCGCACAGCACTTCTTTCCTGTGGCATGAAAAGACTAACGGGAATTGGGCCAAACTACCCTCCCCTCCCCTGCCGGATGGTATTTCATTTGCAGTTTTTAAATGTTTTTTAGTTTTCCTTACGGATAGCTTTCTTTGTAAATTTTAGGCTCTCTGTTTCTTTCTTTGTTTCTTTTTAACAAAAAACTGCTGAGTACTGTTATACGAAACCTCTTGGTATCACCCAAAAGTTATTCGGGCTTTCGGGGTATGACAATATCTAGGACAAACAAGTTCCCGCCTGGGGAGGACACAACCAAACTCTCCACCCTCCCCTCCCCTATCCTGGCGATAGATGATGATCGTTTCCTTGACATTCGTATAACACTATTCACGAGTTTCTGGTGTCGTGAATCTCAAACACCACTCACTAACTTACTACGTATGGATCTATCTACTATAGAGACCGGAGTCAGTTTCAAAAGGAATTTGCAAGCTTTTTATACCAATTAAAGAAGTGTTTTAGCCATACCTTTTCGATTTCAAAGTTAGCCACAAAGGTCATTCCGACACCTGCCAAGATGGCAACCACAAAAGCCAGCTTGTTAAGACGTCGAAGCTTTACATGCTCCTCTCTACACTGCTCAGCTACAAGCCTGTACTGCATAAAACGAACGAACGCATTCGAGATAAACAAAAACGCAGTTAAATTTGTTAACTCTCGGAAGACATATTTCTCCGGAAACAAGACCCCAGTTTCGCTAATCGCCGGCAGAAATGGATAAATGTGTCCACGAGAAAGGGCTACGCAGTATGAAGATATAACTGTTACAGCGCTAGAAATAACCAGTAAGATGCAAAGCCAGCCTAACCCACATCGTGGCCATAGCATAACTTGATTTTCTTTAGTCGGAAAATCATCGACAGTTTTCGTTCAGGGTCTCTCTTGTTGGTTTGTTTTATCGGAGTATAACGTTCGTTAGTCGCTATAAGACGAATATCGCTGTCGTTTTGTAACCTAACGCGAGATAATATTGTTGAAAATGTTTGACAAACTCCCAAGATGAACCATCATATATATTCGCAAATTTCTTGAAAGCGTCCATCGACTGCATTTTATCACCGTATACCCGAACAAGTCCACATACGAGAAGTTATATAATACACTCCGAATTTTCTCGTTACAAGCAAGTTGCCAAATGAACCGCCAGGTACCAGCCACGGTGATCTGGCCCAAACAATGAAATCTCGTCCTGTCTCTTCTTTTTTTGGCGAGCCAGAGAACTGCTTAATCATAAGTGGATACTGGTTTTTGTATTAGCTAAAAAGCGGCCTATAGATACACATAGCTTTGATTCTGACTCACTGAGGTCACGCACAAATATTGTTGCCGTTAACACACACCACCTGTTAAAAAGAATTCATGCGTATATATTTTCTAATTGATTTAAAGCAAAATTGTTGCTCAAAACAAATGTACCGTCATTGTCTTAAACTGTCACGATTCCCAGACATTTATTGTGTAGTTTGAATTAGGCCCTGTTTACAAGCAGATAAGGTAACCCTAGTGCTAGGCTTAACCTGGCAGGAGGGTTACCTTAACGCTCCCACATTTCTTCTTTTTTTCATCGATGTGTTTACAAGGCAGCTAGGGTTACCCTAGCACAAGGGTAACCTTACCTGAGCGCTAGGGTTACCCTATAGCGCCAGGGTAACCCTAGCTGCCTTGTAAACGCTCTGCTGGGGATAACTAGCCTACCCGGGACAACTTTTTACTTGTTTCCAGACCCTTTGAACATTGATAACAATGCGTGCGGTTACCAAGCATAGGTAAGTTGTCCCGGGTGGTAGGGTAATCCTTCCTGTGAAATTTTGCTTGTAAACCCGGGCTATCTTTGACCCCCCTGCTAGGGTAACCCTAGCACAAGGGTTACCCTCCTTGCTTGTAAACAGTGCCTTAAAGAGTTGTTGTGTAGTTTATACCAAAAGATAGTTTTTCTAGTTTCATGCTGATACGTTCTTGAATTCGATGTTTCTCTAAGTATCAGTATTTTAAACGTTTTATTTGCATACAACCTTTTGCCTTTTTATGGGCGTAAAGTTCACGTCTGTGGGTGTTTCTTATCACAGTGGGTATCTCTAATCTGAAACCTTAAGGGGCCGACCATTTAACTTTTGAGGGGGGGTGGGTGATTTTGAAAAACAATTTCCTGCAAGCACTTTTTGGAAGAAAAAAATTGCATGCCGCCCAAATGTAACAGAAAAAAAGAGCATTTAGAACGGAAAAAAATATCCTGCCCAGCAGACTGCTAGAAAAAAATTTCTTCATGACCAGAAATCACCCACCTCCCCCCTCAAAAGTTAAATGGTAGGCCACTAAGTCCTTCAGATTGTTTGACACACGGTCATTATGTCACACAGAGTACAGTACAGGTGGGATGTCAAAACAGTGAGAATTAAATGGGAAATAAGTTTCTAAAGAAACGGTGGTGTTGCGTCGGTGCGGAGTGTTAAAAGATAATTTGGTTTTATCAACTGATTTGAAAGTCAAGCGTTGGATGTTGTCCTTGAGTAGCATAGTGTTATGAAGTCAGATGTGTAAAATAAGTGCTGAATAGATAGATAGATAGATCACTTTCTTTATACACGGTAAATTCCACTCAGTCGTATGCAAGCAATATACCTACAAATGTAAAACGTAAAACTATATAATCATTATAAAATATGTAAAAAGATTAAAAGCCTAATCTAAACGAACTGAACTAACTTCTTATTAGAATGAAAATAAATGAAAATAAAAGTACTGCTTTTCAGGGACGCCTTGTCCTTAGTTCACTCAAAACTGAAGTTACTTAGCTTCGTCTTAAACTCACCTGATGTTTTAGATACTCTAATATCAGTCAGAAGGCTATTCCACAACGCGGCACCGTTATAAGAGAAACTTTTACGAACATAATCGGTACGAGGTTGCGGAAGAGCTAGACTCATTTCACTATTTCGCAATCTATAACTAGTAGTATCATTACGAAAGATGAATTTATTTGATAAATAATCAGGTGTCTGTCCATTTAGAATTTTGAACATCATAACGGCTTTGACAAAAAGCCTCTGATTCCTTAGGTTTGTCCAATGAAGTCTTCCGAACAGGTCCAGAGCACTAGAACCATGAGGGGCGGACAACAATATACAAGCCGCACGGTTCTGCAGCTTCCGAAGTTTTTCGGCCAGACTTGTACTACAGCAATCCCATACTAAGCTGCAGTAGTCAAACTGGGGCTTTACCAAACCATTGAAGATGTTCAAAAGAGTGTAGAATGGTACAAAATCTCTAATTCGCTTAATTAAGCCCAAAGCTGAAGAAATTTTCTTACAAACAGTTTCAATATGGGTATTCCAGCTTAAGTTTTCATCGATAGATACACCGAGAGACTTTGTTCACGACACCTGCTCAATGGGAAAATTATTAATGGTAAGAGACGGATTGTCTCTTACCATTAATAATGACGCCAGGTATGCTATGATTTATTAGTTTTCCGAGCTTTCGCCGATCTACGGCATCATCAGGGAATATAGATGGAATCCTTGAAGTGAAGAATATATCGGGCGAGGTGTTAGGCTAGATCATAGAGGTTCAGGAGACGATAATAGGAAAGGATAATGGAAGGTATGTAAATGCGGTAGAAAGAGATGGAACAAAAGGCAGAAAATAAAATAAATATAGTCAGGGTAAATAATATAGTCAGAATAAAAGGTCTTTGAAGGGTTTCTAAAGCTACGTTTCGAACGTTAGCCCCTTGTCAGAGCGAAGTGAGAACATAAGCTCGTAGCTTTTTGGTAATTAAAGTTAGTTCAAGAGAACATACAGTAGACGTTGTAGCAGCAAGGCAATGGTACATGAAGACGAAACTTTTGTGATCCAAATGTGCCTTCGAATTCCCCTCAGCGAGTTTGATCAAGTTCTTATCCTCTTAACGTCCCATGTGTCTTTTATTAGATAATTCTTACATACACAGCGGGTAAGTTTCTTAATTAAGAAAGTGTGATACAGCATCGGTGGGAAGTATTACAAAATAATTTGGTTGCCAAGTTATCATGAAACAAATTGGCCACACGTCAGAGCCAATGACGAAGGGCTAACGTTGCGAGACTCTTTAGTTTTTCAGCCTCGAGACTATTCCGAAACAGCTTTGTGCTACTTCGGTTCTTCAGTACCACACGCCGCTTGGAGAATAAACAGAAACTGTGAAAAGCAATCGTCTCACGGTGAATTTGAAAGACTTGTCTACAGGGGAAAAAGGTGGAAGAACATAACAAACAGATCACTGAGTCTGTCGAACAAAAACCAGGTCTTAGGATAACTAGAAGCAATCAAGAGAACCTAAGTGTAAAGTGTAAAACCAAAAGACAGTGAAGATAGTTTAGAACAGCCTATCTTAAGAAAGGTGTTCTGCAGCTCCCTTAAATTAATTCATTTTAGACTAAGACTATACATCATCTCAGCTTCGAATGAGACACGGTATCCTTGAAACAGCCTCTGGCTATGATATTATTCAATTTGTTAGCTTAGCAAAATAAGTTGTTGTGCTTTTAAAATCAGTATTCTGAAGGAACTTTTTACTATGAATATACAAAGTTATCAATCAATCAAAGCGGGACACTAGCTGGAGAACTTTCTGATTTATCTCATAGATTCATGCCAATTTCCACGCCGAATTCGTAGCTGATTATCAATTTCAGAAATTCAAAATACTGCAAAACGACAAGACCGGAAAAAAAATTGAAATCCACGGTAACGAAAACTCACTGATCGCTATTTACTAGCTTTTACATAAATTATCTTCAATAAGCGCTCGGAGCTAAGTGAATTAAGATTTGTTTGATACGGACAAGAGGCTGTTCGCTACACTGACAAATTTTGAAGGAAAACCGAAGATTTCCGAAAATTAACTGTATCAACAGCGCGGAAAACGATCTGAAGGTAAGACAAGGTTCTCGTATCTCAGTCCAACAATGGCGCCGGAAGATGCGTAAGATTGTTTAGTTCTGATAATTTTGTGTCATATAATGAGAATCGCTATCTCTGAAGTTTACTAATTTGCATGGTGGTGGTGATTCAGGTTGTTAAAATTATTTTTAAGAGCTAAATCCATTTGACGCATGAAAAGGCGGTACATGTACAGTCTGTTGGCTTCCGTAAGAATTGGGAAGTTACTCATTACCAAGGGTATTTTAAAACTTCTTCCTTCTTCGTTCTTTTGAATCATCATTTTGTCCTTCCTCTAGAAGGCTAGTTAGAAAACATAACAAAATTTCCAGTATCGCTAATAAAAAAAAAGAGCTATGCTATAAGTGAGTCAGTTTCAGGTTTGTGGAGACACATTTTAAAAGACTTGGCTTTATTTGTTGGTTTATGGGAGGGGTGGGTGCGCAGTTGCTCAGATACGGACATCAATCCAAGAAAATCTCATCACATGCGCACAAAGTTGAAAGATAACGGGTAACAATTTCCTAATGAAATTTTTGAAATCATCATTTAATATTTTCCCTTGAAGGCTACATGCTGGAGTTTTCACGATTCCGGCAATTCCACAAACAGCATCTTCCATTGAAGACATAAAGCTCTCGCCAAAATCTGTAACTGTTATCGTCACTTTTTGAGCACTTTTTAGGTATCGGTTTAAAGACGATACCTAAAAAGATTATTTGGTCGTTATCTCGAGAAATTTTATCGTGAAATGCCGTGCGATTGGTTGTTGTATAATTACCTCTTTCTGCAAGGTAGATAAAGGGAAGAGAGAAAATAAATTACGAGCTCTTTTGAATATTGCAGCCCCAGATGTAGGCATGGACTGCATGGCGCTAGAAAAATCTGGAAAGTGAGGAAATAACGTTTCAGTAAGTCTTTTCAAAGAGTTTTCCTCACTAGTACTTGGTTACACTGGATTAAACGCTCCAAGGAAGACGTCAGTAACATGAGGTGGAAGGCGAAGGTAAGCTGAATTACTCCGGCTGCCTGTGGCATAATTTGTAGTCTCCATTTTTATTTTCTAAACTTTCACTGCACACATAGTCTATCCTCAACCGAACCAAACACGCTAGGGTGGGGTAAGTTAACGTCTCGTCAGTGATCAGCGTGGTATGAACTCTTATCGACGATATTTATCATCACAGTGGCCAAAATTTTGAACCCTGTGATGATAAGCATCGTTATTGATAAGAGTGCAGACCACACTAAACCACTGTCGATTTATTTTTTACCATAATATCCACGTCAAATAAAACGACTCTATCAGTGCGTGACACGTTGACGCGAGCAGCGTTGTTTGTATTTTTATCAACAACAGCAAATTAGCCAATCAGATTTCGACATTACTGCCAATTGTGGTAAAATAAAATTCTCAGCTTACCCACCCCCTACCCCCAAGTGTTCGCGTTCATCAATTCTTCCTGGCTGATATTTCGTTCGCGCTTTGGAAGATGAGCTAAGAGAAAATTGAAGGTAGCAAAAATTGTAACCATTAGTTTTGTTTTCCTTCCAATTGAAGTTGTATCTTTGTCAGACAAGAGGAAATAATTCGCCTTCCAAGACTATTCTTCTGATGATAACAGCGGGACTGATGCTTCATCTGAACTGGAGGTTTCAACCATCTGGCGTCAGTAAGTAGTTATGCAACGCAATAACTACCAGAGACTTTCCATATGAAAATACATCCAAAATTCTCGCCAGCTTTCTTTGGGACGCCCTTTCAGTTTGAACAATTAAGGCAAGTTAGGGATCAATTTCGTTCTCTGAGAAACCGCACACCCCTCCCCTAAGGTTGGGTTAATGTTGGGCAGGGGAGGGGAAGGGTAGGTGCGCAGTTACTCAGTACTGACGAAGCTTCAGTCCTACGTTTTACTTATTGTCTGTTTACCTCTATTCGTTTCTATTCACATGAAGGATTATGTGCGAAATTCTTTCTTTGCAGCAGAGTCCCAAATAATTTTGTCGAATGTTGTAGATAGCTTCACTACCATTAGGCCAAGGGTTTTTTCGAGGAAACCGTGCTGTGATTGGTTCATGATTCATTGGTTCAAGATTCTGCCCCCCGCCGGGTTCCGAATCAAGACGAAGAATGGTGTTGGTTTTCGCACAACCAGCAAGTTGCCAAGCCAAGACTAATCGTAAATTAATTTATCTACTAACTGTTTCATGTTGAGATATTGCAAATTGTCGTCAGCTTGTCGCACAAGTTCAGCGCACTTTGAAGCAACCAATTTGATTTAATACTGATAAAACCAGTCTGAGCTGATCAACAACTAGAATGTCAATGAAATCCTCCAAAACTCTCTCTCGAAAAACAAAGAAAAAAATCAATAGACTTTGCTGCTCAGAGTAGCCGCTAATTAGTTAAAGAGACCTTCGCTATCATTGACTTCTTTACTGTCTGTCCTTCTTTCAAGAAGTAATTGAAACAATATGACTACCAAAGAACAATTAGGGACCTTAACTCAGCAAGCCACGACGACGATGGAAACGAGGACGTGGCAAAACTTGCAAAAGTCCGAGGAGTTGAATGGCCCAGCACATGAATTGCGAAACTTCGCGCATTTCTTAGCCGTCTTCCGCAAAAGAGGATCTTGAAATAACGAACATGTTCGTGGTCTGACAACGCCGTGAAATCCTAGACGTTATTTAAGTTTCCATTTGGAACTCAAAGCAGCGCACATGCGTAATACTGAAGTTAAGGTGTGGCGACGTAAGAGACGGTCTTACCACATGTCAAGGGATAAAGGATACTTTTTGCTCTTCTTAGGTATGACTTGCGAGGTAAGCTGCAACGTAAAGGACATATTATCTTGTTCACCACTCGGGAAGATCATCACGAAGACGAGTGTAAGAGAGCTGGGAAAATCGCTCACGAGAAAAGGTACAAATGGAGAGAATGGTGAATATACCCTTCGTTTCGGTATATTACATCAATTACAACTCTCAAATTATTGTCTAATCGTTTAGTTTTAGTTTTTCTAGCCATTGGAATTCCAACTGTCGAAAGGACCCACAAGAACAAGACGGAAAGTTATTTGACTGCAACTTTAAACTCGATCTTGACAAGTGGTGTTTCGGGGGACGACCTCAAAGACATTATAATTGTTGTTTTTCTTGCTGACACCGAAGAATCAGCCCGCGCGATAGTAAAAAAGAAACTACTAGAAAACTTTGGTAAATACTTGGAGATGAATTTAATTCATGTCATTTCGGCTCCATCCTCGTTCTATCCTCGCTTAAAGGGAATTCCGTCGACTTTTGGAGACGGGCCTGACAGAATGTACTGGCGCTCAAAACAGAGCATGGATTATGTGTTCATGTTTTATTACAGTCATGGCCTTGCAAATTACTATTTGCATCTTGAAGATGATGTCAGAACTGAGCCTAACGCTTTGAGTCACATACGAAAATTTATTGACCAAAGAGGCAGTGATAAGTGGGAAGTATTGAGTTTCAGCAAGTGGGGGTTTATAGGAATGCTTTTCCACGACGACAATCTGCGATTGTTTGGTCGTTATCTCGAAAAATTTTATAGTGAAATGCCGTGTGATTGGTTGTTGTATAATTACTACACTTCGAGAGGAGGAAAAGCAATCTTCCGAGATAAGAACGTGTATGAGAAGGCACTTTTTCATCACATTGGTCACCAGTCTTCCTCCCTTGGAACATAACATAGTCAACAGCCTTTCTTGTTAGCACTCGTTACCAGTTCTCCTCCATAAACCACGGTCAGTAGTAGCCTAATTGTCCTTCTCTCTAAATGGAGTGGTCATTAATTCCGCTCTGTTCTATTTTGTTGCTACGAATTCGCACTTATTTCATACATTCTGCTATTTACGCTATGATTTACTATAGTTCTTGTCTCTGATTGGACGGACGATGTATTTCCACAGTTGTTAGCTTCTAATCTTTAAATGTGTCAATTAGAAGGAAAAAATCTCAGTCTGCATGATATAAGATGTCACATTATGGAAAGTGCGCACCAACGATTTTATTCACTAGTTACGATGCATCGAAAACCTCGTTCGTTCGATGTGTTCAATCGTTCGTTTGTTGGATGCATCGCAACTCGAGAATAAAAACTTTTGTTGAGCACTTTCTTTAAAATAATCTAACAAATTCTAACCTCGAGACAAACCAGCTAAGTTAAAGTTTGTAACGATATTGCTACGGCATTGTTTTTGTCGGCTCTATAAGTCTAACGAAATACACAAATCTGGAAAAAACTACCTTCCAATTGAAATTTTTTTGGAAATTTGTGGCTAAGAATATTTATCCTCGTGTCATACGCAAAAGATCGTTGTCCCAATTGCGAAGAAGTATGCTCTGCTAGGATAAAACGCGATTAGAGAGGATCTTGTCCATTTAATCAATGGGCTTTTTAAGATGAAAAAAAAAACTTCTAAAGCTCTCCTTGTAAAAAGGAGCTTTGCCTTCTTAAAAATAAATTGCCAGCTTCATATCAAGGACTTGAGGATCTAAGAAATGGTCTTTTCAGGTAATTGATTTAGAGCAAATGCTGGATCTTATTGGCTAATCTTTGCTTTGTGCTCCGTTATTTAAATCTCACAGGTTCTTTTATCACTGATCTCTTGGTGATCTATTTCAACATTCAAGAGCTTTAAAAAAAGGAGCCCAGGAAGGCATTCCTTGTAACAACTAAATTAAATTAGCAGTTTTTTCTGAGCCTTGCGTTGTGGGTCTTGACACCTCGTTAGATTCAGGGACGTCATTCATGTGCGGCCGAAGAAGTGCATTGTTTTCGAAACGATGGATGGAGACCCGAGTTCAATTTTTAGCACAATTGAAGACAATTCCAGAACGGCTAGGTCACCCCTTAGATTATCAAAACACAGCATATAGTAAATTTAAGCATTCATTAATGGCAGAGATAACAACAACCGTGTGATTTGTAGAAAAACTTCTCCTTTAACAAAGAATTTAAAAATACAAAAATTGATCGTACTATAAACTAGCTATCTAAACATTTAGTATGGTTAAATCGATTTAACAACACGTCTACCATTCCGATTGAATTTTTTTCTGCAGAGTATTTGCGCGTTAGTAAAACAGGTCTGATGTAACTTATGTTACGTGATATATAACGCCAAAATAAACTATCGTCGTTCTGTGCGCGCTCCTCCCCGTAAATAAATCCGATATCAACTCCTGATAATCTCTCTGATTTATCAGTCAGATCGAGCATTTTTATCATGGTGGGAACTGCTATTTCCATGTACACCTGATGCTTTTGAAAAACAGCGGACAGTTTTTCAAAGGCCATGGCCTGTTCTGAAGGAATGTAAAATAGATTTGAAAAGCCTCGATAACACATGTTCAAGCCGCGCCCATTCCATAGCAAGGCGTTCAATGTGTTTTCCACGTCCCACGAGCTTTCCTCTTGCCCATTACTATCAATTATTGCACGCTTTTGCCCTTCATTTAGGTAAATAAGGTCTTTATAGGCCTCCTCACAAGCTTTCAGTCCCCAGGGCGTGTACCACCAGATCCAGGAATCGCGCGGTTGCTCAAACATAACCTGGTTACCAAGCTGATCAGAGCTTTCCCATATCCTAGATCTATTGAAATTTGAAATTGTCCAAAAATTTAGAAACAAATCGTTTCTAATGAACAAGTAACCAGTAAACTGAGGTTGTGTTCAGATCGCAGTGCTCAGACACTCGTAAGCTGTGACTCCGTGAAGCATAGGGAACACAATCATCTTGTACTTGGGGTCATCTAGTGGTTTTGTAGGTCCGCAATAAACTATATGTGGAAAACGATGTCTGTAAAGCCGCTCCAGTAACGGAATTGAATCATAGAGGATTTCCACAAAGACAATAACTAATAAAATATCTTCAAAATTCCCTTCTTTACAAGTACTTTCACTGAAGTTTTCTCTGTAGCTGTTAATGGTGGGCAGTTCGCGTTTTCGTTCGATGGAATTACTTTCCTCTTCGACAATTTCAGATCCTCGGCTGACGTAGAATGATAAATAACCTATAAAAAAACTTTTTTTGCTTTTATTCTGGGCAGTTTCTGATCGATGTCAGTACAGTACAAAAAATCACAAAAAGAGCTTTCTGACAGCACTAACGAAAATAAAGATTTCCCTTCTTATGCGGACTGGCCTCATGTGTTCTTATTCTGATTACTTTTGGTAACGGGCATATCGAGTCAATTTTGATCTCCAGCTAAATCTTGCTTAGTCTTACATCAGTCTACATAGCATTGAATAAGCGGCTGGAGTAACTTTGCTCCCTCCCTTCCTCTCCCTCTCTCACCTCCCCCCTCCTGAGTGAGGATGCACCATCGCAGTTATAGACTTCGAGTAGTCACTCCTTTTCGACGAAGTCCGTCGCGCGAGTCCAAAAAAAAAATCAGTGAAATAAAATTAACTTAGCGCGCTTTGGGAAACTCTTCAAATGACACTGATGCGCCGTAGGAGTTCAATGAGTGAAGTGCTCGACTACTAAGAGTCCCCCGCAGTGCACCAAGTTCTTTTTTTTTTGGCTCGCGCAACGGACTTCGCCAAAAAGGAGGAAATGCTCGTACTCAATCGCAGTTGCTATCTCCAGAATTTTTTCAGGTTTTCCTTAAACCTCGCTCGTACCCACTTATTCTCGCTGGTTGGGAAAAAAACTTTCTTCCGGGGACAAACCACAACGACCCGACCAGGACTTGAACCCGGAAATCTCAACGACCCAGAGAACTTTGCGCTACCCTTTACGTAATGATTCTTTTACGGTTAAGTTTCATCAGCTAAATTGATATGCTAAGGAGAGAAATAAATTTGATATGTTTACTATTTCAACGACGGTCCTGATGGCTTTAGATCGAACGCGCGACCTCAGGCGCCATTTTGAAAAGCCTTTTAATAAATTTGTTTTACGCTTCAATGAATGTTTAATAAGCGATCATCTCGACGCGGACATCATAACTATCTTTAGAGCATTAAACAATTATGGAAGTTTTTAGATCATGGAAGGTTAATACCCCTTAGCTAGAGGGTGCTTTTGCAATGCTTACCTCTTGACATGATGAACACAACGGAACAGAGAGAGAACGTGATTATGCCCAGAAAACAAAGACGAAGGCAGAAGCTATAAGAGGCCATGTACACTTCAACATCACCCGCTTCCTCGCGAAGCATTTGCAATAAGATCCTTTACAAAGTCAATTAAAGCGTTAAAACCGCTTTTGCTCGCCATCAGTCCTTTTGAAAGCTTATTTCGTTTCCTTTGTGCAAGAAAAACGCGAAAAAATCGATTGGGCTACTGCGCATGTGCGTATGATTTGTTAAGCAGGTACCAGCTACACGCAATTTTTTTTTGTTTTTATTTGAGCTTCTCACTACAATTTGTTATGCGCGACACGAACATCATTTCCCACACATTTGATAACTCTGTTAGTTTTCTTTTCGTCCCGTTTGTTCCATTTTGGAGAGAACTATTGACAAAACAACCAAAATAATTCGTTTGTTGAGGTATTAAGGATTAGTTGTTGGTGGCAAAGCCGGTTCCACTCAGTCATATCGAGGCTGATCAAAGGACAGAGAGCTGGAGCCATTTAGTGCTACTGCTACGCTCCTTTTACTAGTTAGGTACCAATGGATTATTTAAGTGTTGTTAGAGACAACTTCATGGAAACATTCCCACTAATTGTCTATTTATCACGGATCACTGACTGCTTAATCACACGGTCAGCTCGCCTTAAAAGAAAACAAGTCATAATTAGAAACTACATTGACACTTAAATGACATCTCAAGAATTATCATCAGGAAGGTTTACCTATCAGTGCATGACAGAAAATCGTAAAAACAAAGCTTTTCCAAAACGGATGCCAAACGCTAAACTTTAAATCAAGAAGGTGTATCGGACAACTCTCTCTCCATTTCCTGATTGCCTGATTGTGAATCAGTAAACTTTTAGATTATAATTGTTTATTTTGGTTATTTTGAACAAACAGTGAGTTTTCCTTTTCAAAGAATTTGGTCGCAGTTTCCAAAATCTTCGCTTTTAGATTAGAGGTGAAAGTTTCCATTTTGGTCGCAAATAATTTGCCTTGAAATTCTAAGGTTGAAAATGGAAAGATCGGTGTTGCAAATGACGATGCGTGTTCAACTTCAGCACGCAGAACCCGTAAACACATATCACCTGCTTGATGCAAATATTTATATTACGAAGTGCGTTAAATATGAAGATACTAGTTAAATTGTTCTTGAAACAAAACTTAGTTTTAGATTTCAGAGAAGTTTTTGCAAGGGCCCAGGAGCGCAATGAATACTTGCCACTTAAACTATATGTTCTGTTGACGTTTGCATCAGAGACGAAATCTTGGTGTGAAAAGGTTTATTGGCTGTTAACCTCTGTCGTCTAAATTCTCGAAGTTCCCAAAATCTCAAATTCAGTCGGTAAATCCAGGATCAGAAACTCAGTTCGTAATATATATAGTGTAAGGCAACTTTGATGTTGACATGATTTTTACCAATTGTGATTTTTCAATTAGATTGAAATTCGTCAAAAAAGTTATCGAACGGACTAAGGACAATCCAGATTTTCCACACGGAATCTTGGTTCATAAGAGTGGTCAATAGTTAACTGGTTAAGAGACAAAATCCAATTCGTGTTCAGTTTTAAAATTTTGTATTCAACCAAGTTATCTAGCACAGATAACAGCCATGAACTGAGCTTAATTTCCCTCACTTGCGAAGGGGGAATACCAGAAAGCAACAAGTTACTCGTGTCAGGTAGTCAACAACACTACCGGCTGAAAGACGCACTATGCAGTGGGGAAACATCGTGAGTTTACGGCTTATCTTTCGAGGAACCTCAGTCGGTTCCTTTTCCAATATTGATCAATGAGAAAGTGGATTGAATATCTCTAAAACAAGAGCGACTTTGGACGGTGATTTCATCCATGTAGTATTGGCACTGAACCCACGCTGCCACTGATCTCTTCTAGTGTTGTTCAATTAATTCTGACCTTATCGCAGTGAACACATGGGGCCTGCTCACTGTTTATACTTGTTACTGTCGGCCACCTGTAACTTTACACACTGGCTTGCCGCTCGAGACCGTAACAACTGCTAAAAACGGGTCGAGCGCGGGATATTCAAGAACCGGCCGATCATACCGGTAGATATTGAGATCTCCGCACCTCAGAGGATCTCTCGAGGTCGTCGGCAGGAAGTTGATTCCAACTTTTTTTAGAATAAGAATTACTTATTGAAATAAAAGGAAATAGATGGCGCCAATGGGGAGAAATTGAAATTGGAGAGTCGGTTATACTGGGAGCATGACTCTAACCGTAAGACATTCAATTTTATGACCTAACCGTACACCTGGTTGTGACGTAATTGTTAACTTATTCAGTCCGCTTAGTCAGACGAACCGAAACTTCTCCAAACAGCTAGCGGTGTAACATCAACATTCTACGACCACTGTCGATAATCTCGATAAATTGTGGAAAATTATTTTTCCCACGGTCAGAATTAGAAATTTTGCTAGAGTTCTCATAAACATCTGCAAGCCATAATCCTAGCTCGCGCTTTCAGGTTTGTTTTGAACGCCAGACTGTTCCCGCGCATGCGCAAATCGAAGGATATCAGTTACGCGTTGTTAATGGTGATACCTGAAGAGGGCTGAGAGTATCAGAGACGCAAATGGAGACAGGGCTAATCGGTTGATAACGTCATTTGAGGCAAGGAAGGAGGGATTCCTCCTTAAGTTGCCTTAAACTCGATGAGCAGTGGAGTTGGTTTGAAGGAGAAAGAACACGTCCGAGTCGAGGGGATATGCCAAAATCCTTCCTTGTGAAAAAACCCTCTCGCACCAAGAGGAAGCTAGCCGAGGAGATACACCAGGGTAGGTACCCGTACTGTTATACCAACACACCAGGATCTACTTGGCTTCTCAAGATTAAAGGTCAATCATGTTTTTAAGCTAAGAAACTCTAAGCCTTTCCATTAATAGGGCTTTTGCTTGTGCAGGATCATTTCTAGTGCAATTTTGTCCATTTTTAAAACATTTTCTTCGAATTGTTTTAATTTTCTGTTGAGGCGTAAGTCTGCGGTTCGCTGGGTCAGCGCAAGTCACGCGTACTAAAAAAGATCTAGTATATCTGAATAAAAGGTAAAATTGTTTTTCTGATCAATCGCTTTCTTTTAAATCAGTTTCTCGGCCAAAAAGAAGAATCTTTTCTTTCGCGATTTAGGCTTCGGAGCGCTCAAATTTCCTTGATTTCCAAGCGCTGATTACTTCAGTGACAGAGTATGCAAAAGTAGTGAAATCACAGCCGGGTGTAAATAATTCAACTTTGCGTTTAGATTTCTAAAACTCTTTAAAACGAAGTTCTTTGAGTAACATAACTTTATTGACTCATTTTGCAGAAAGATTTCTCTTTTGTCTGTCAGAAAATGAAGTGTTATCCGACATTGCCGAGGAAGGAGAGAAAGAGACAAATCCAGGCCCAGCAGGCACCGGTAAGTGTTGGTAAACGTTGTTGACACGACCACCTGTAAAGCCCTGGACTTCAGTTAGGCAATTAGGAAAAATCTTTACGGTCGGAAAATCACAAGTAATCCAAACTAAAGTTCCTAGCCTCCAGATTTTTGACACGATTCTAGTCAGTAAACTTGTCCAAACTAATTGAAGCCGACCAAAATGCTAAACTTTGAATAAAAATTGACTCTCGTTGAGGCAATGAGGGTTCTTTCTGGGGGGATTCGAGCATAATGTTAGGCTAAGCACACTTTGTTCAAAGGACTTAGATAGAGAAATAAAATATTGTAGGATAGAGATTAAGTGCGAGGATAATCCAATTTTTTAACACATTATCTTCTGAAACAAAACCTTTCATTACGCAGCAACAAATGTTTGGATTTTTCCAATATTGGGTGAAGTGATCAAGGTTATACTATCAAATGGTGATCACAGAGCGAGTTTTGTTCTCTTATTATCTTCGCCAAGTGAAAGATCGAATTAATTGAAATTATTAAAAGGCTCACATTAGAACCTTGAAATTTTCACAAATATCGTTTGTCTATAATTTTTTTTAAAAAAAGGTTCTATGTAGCTCGAAAGTTAATTGTGTTATTCGAAGCAGTAAAATTAAGCCCGCATCACGTCATCACACGCTCAAACACTCCAAGAGGAAAGAATTGAGGTAAGACAGCTAATGGTGTCATATGATAAATTCGATCCACTTCCAAAAAAAAAATGCAAAGAAACCAACCAACATTAGTGTGCGGTTTTCTATTTTAAAATTTCTCAAGCCATCAGATTCCACTTAAGATTTCCATGAGATACAGACTCGACTTTTTCTGGTGGACATTTATCCAGAAGCCTTTAGATCGAGTTGACCCGGTTTAGCTTTTGAATCATTCAGGTTCTGGGTTAGCAGGTTTAGCTAGTGAAAAACAAATCTTTTTATAGAAATCAAACGACTTTTCAGCTAAAATTTTGCAAGAGGCAGCTCTGTAGTCGAATTTGCGATTAGGGCAAAGGTACAAAACATAAGACTCACAAAGTTATAAGGATCGTGTGGCTTCGTTGTCGAAAGTATTTTCAATTGAAGATTAAACTTCATTGGGACAAAACGCAGTTTTATTGGCTTTAATCACTGAGATACTTTAAAAGGAGGACAGGTCATGGAAAGGCAGAACACGTGTAAGAGCTCTCTCTTGCTATTATTTCGATATACTTTTTTCCAATAAAGAGGGTAAGTTTCCAAAGAATCTGTTCTGTTGCGTCGCTGGAAGGTAGTATAAGATAATATGGTGTTATCAGCTAAATTGATTGTAAATTGGCCATCGTAAAGAGTTTCTAAGGAAGGGCGAATGTAGGAATTGTGGGTTGTTTGAGTCAATATTTATTCAATAGTTTTTAGTTCAATAGTTTAATTATTTTTTTCAGGCGATGTGGCCATTCAGTGTAATCTGGAAGCCAACGCAAACTCTCACGCTCCACGCACCAATCATGGGAGGAATCAGCCGATGCCTTTTACCGCGCTTGACACGCGCGGATTACACACGCTTGCGGAGCTGTGCTTACGGCGGGCGGATTACGAGTTTTGTACCCAGAACGTTACTGTAGACCACGGGAAGACCAATGATGGTGACATGCGTGAGACGGAACTGAGTAAAAGTGAGACTTTTAAGGATCCTCGTAAAGTGCATGACGCGAAGTTTAAACGGCGTGAAAGCGACAGTTTAACAAGTTTAAAAAGAGAACAGGTCAATGTTGAAGAAAATGAAACAGCCGAGGAAAAGTGCGAAGATCTAAAGGAGAGAAAAAGCAAAGCTATGAGACGGTCCATGAATCCCGTGAATGAAAACAAATCAACGAGACTTCATAAACTCGAGGAGGAGCTAGAAAAGATGTTACAGTGAGTTCTTTTGAAAAGACTTCTTTCTCTTTCACCCGAGAGCCATTTTTTCATCCCTGTGCGAGTGGACAAATAAAATATGTTTTGTCGATTATTTTTGTCATGCATCTGACACCAAGTGTACTAGTCTTTGACCAAACCCTCATCAGTTTAATCGTTTGCGGTTTGATTATTTTTACAATTTGCGTTAGTATTCATACAAATACTTTGTTTTAGGACGTACTGAATACGTCCTTATGGCATATGAGTAATCTGGTACAGGACTTACTCAGTATGTCCATAACGAAATGAAGGGGTTAATGTTACCTCCTCTAGCGTTAAACCGTTATGATAAATTCAACCCACCTTTTCTAGATACGACAAAAAAAACATCTTCAATTCATCAAAATTTTTATTAGCCTTGTAAAGAAAAGTAAGCTATCTTATGAATATGAACTTTACTATCTCTAAATCTAGGTCTATCTTTGGGTTTGAATTTTTGAACTGTTCCAGTTATTATGTTATATTTATATATGTAAATTGGTTGATAATCACTGCACCCATAACTGCTCTCAGGAGTCAGCATACTCAGCCAATTAATTATGTCACGTTTAGGGGAAAAGAAGAAATCACTGGGCGAGAAATCAGAGATTTTATGGAAAACAACAAAGCTCTGGAAAAAGAATTGATTGAGGAGACTGGCGTGTCTCAGATAGAGATCACAAAATACATGCAAGAAAGCGTTCACCTGAAAGAAGACAAACGGACAAAATTGTTCAGGTGGTACCTTGAGAAAAAGCTTAGCAGAATGGAATCAGGTCAGTGCAGCAAAACATGGTGCAGACTAAAATTTTACGGGCTATGGATAATGTAAAACCAGTAATAATCAACCCCTGTATTGTATTGTATTGTTCACGTTATTTCTTTAAATCTTACGATTGATGATTCTCTCCTCTTGATTTCAAGATGACGAGAGTTATACGTGCTATAAATGCGGTAAGATCTTTGCATACGAGAGTTATCTGGAGCGCCATGTTAAGTACGTTTGTCCTGACAAGACTGGTCGCACATGGAAGTGTTCCTACTGCAGTAAAGCATTTCAGTACCCTTGTTATCTGAGGAGGCATATGAGATCACACACAGGTAAATACTATGTACTTACTCACCGAGTGGGAGGGCCGGAAGGGAAATATTTGGCTCGAGAACCGACGTACAGACCGAGGGCAGCGACAGCCTTACATTTTCCCTTTTTATCATATGCCCATACCTCTTACCTTGTCTTCCTTTTCTTCTTCAACTCGCATCTCGTGGGACCGCGCGCCTTTTCCCATCGCTTACGGCCCTCAACTGAAACGGGGATTTTTGCATAGCGTTTTGGAACTAACAATGACAATAACATTGCTCCTGAAATGTTCAAAGAATATTTTGTCAAGTTATCACATAATCATTGTTCACACCGAATCTGCTAAGAAAGGGTGCTTTTATTCTGGGGCACAAGCTTCCAATAATTTACCACCAAACCTGAAAGAACTTGAATCCCTAAAACGAAGCTTAAGGATTTTCTATGTAATTAACTTTTAACTTTACTTTTGATACTTCTTCTATGTATATACTTTCCTATAGTTCTTATCTTATTGTGTATATTTTAATAGTTTTTAGGACTTTTATTATTCTTTGCTATTTTATGTTTCTCAGGGCACCTATGGATAACAGCTTCTGCTGACGGGTTTACCCTGGTTAAATATGTTATTATTATTATTATTATTATTATTATTATTATTATTATTATTATTACTATTATTACTATTACTATTATTATTATTATGATACGCAAACACTCTTTGGTCTCGATAAAATACGTCTTGACTGTTGCCTTTGCATTGTAGGCGAGAGTCCTTACAAGTGCACGCAGTGTTCGCGAGCATTTGTTCGTTCTACAGACCTTCAAAGACATTTGCGAAATCACACCGGTGAAAAGCCCTATAAATGCCAAGAGTGCTCGAGAGCATTCGCACGCTCCACGGATCTAAAGCGACACATGCGCACTCACACAGGAGAGAAACCCTACAAATGCTGGCAATGTTCCAAAGCGTTCTCTCAGTCTGGAAGTTTGCAGACTCATTTACACACGCATTATAAAGAGTCTTTGCAAATGAAGGGAGTCATACCAGACAAAACAAAAAGAACTTAACAACTGACGCAGGAGCTCCAACATTACGACAAAAGGCGTTGCGATTTTGTTGGCGGGAGCGGAAATTAGAGTGTTGGCAAGCATAACAACATCAGTTGCATAAGACCAAAATATCAGACTTGTCGGGCAACAAGCGTGATATTACCCAATAAGTGCGCTTCTTCATTTGAAGGATCCATGTTGAAGCTATCGATATATTTTCTCTCCATCAGAAAGATAAATTTTTTTTTCACTTCGTCTGAGTCACATTTTGCGAACGAATACATGCTTGCTGAATCGCTTCTGGAAGCCAATCCAAGTGTCTTCAAGTTTGATAAAGATTTTCTTGTGTTTTAAACGCTGGACGAGCTTTACCTGAAACCGAAACTGCCGACTTTAAACCGTATTTGGTTTTACAGAGGTTCACACTCCCAAATAGATCATTGCACATCATCAACGATGCATTTGTGCTCTAATAAGCAAAGATTCAACACTTGGTAAATTCAATTTTCTGCAAGAAATTTAGTGCCACCACAAAGCATTATAGGGCTGGGCTTAAATGGCAAGGATGACGTTACACCGAAATTTGGGGATTTTTGGGATTTATTGCAGAGGAAATTACTCTCGGGTAATTTCTGTTTCTATTTGCTTTTTTTACGTTGCTTTTTTACTCGTTACATCGCCCAAGATGGACGCTAATAACACAGAAAAACATAAGGCTTAAAGAGAAAAGAAAAGAAAAGAAAAGCACATGTATATTTTCGGAAACTTTTGCTAGGATAAAATATTTAGTTTTGTGTATACTTTTGCTCGGGAAAACTATTTTTATTTTCTTTGCTTAACTTTTTGAGAAAGTAGAGGATCTACTTGCATAGCTCTCGAAAAGGCTTTTACCAAAATTTATAGTGTTGATCCGATATTTGTCACACGGAGTATGCAATGTAAAAGGAACATCAACAACAGCTTCGCATAAACATCCATCATCACATTCGGTAGAGAAAATGGACAACACATCATAAATACAGGTCACAGATAGTTAAGCCACAGTCTTCAAGATGGTTGTAAAAGAACGAAAGCTAGGCTGTTTGGAAATGAAACACTCAAAAGATCTCTTTACACGACCATAGAATTCCGACATGATCATTATCACTTGACTCGTTGCATTGGCAATTTTTTCAACAGCCACCCGAAATCCCCGATTTTGCCAGTCGCACCCTTGAAGAAACGTGATTTGGTGTATAGGTTTTACCAGAGACTTTCCATATGAATATACATCCAAAATTCTCGCCAGCTTTCTTTGGGACGCCCTTTCAGTTTGCACAGTTAAGGCAAGTTAGGGATCAATTTCGTTCTCTGAGAAACCGCACACCCCTCCCCTAAGGTTGGGTTAATGTTGGGCAGGGGAGGGGAAGGGTAGGTGCGCAGTTGCTCAGTACTGACGAAGCTTCAGTCCTACATTTTACTTATTGTCTGTTTTCCTCTATTCGTTTCTATTCACATGAAGGATTATGTGCGAAATTCTTTCTTTGCAGCAAAGTCCCAAATAATTTTGTCGACTGTTGTAGATAGCTTCACTACCTTTAGGCCATTTCCAAATTACCTTTGACCTCTTTTTCAAAACGAGTCCTGGTGCTCAACCATTCTTGTGAAAATGAGTTTAATTTGCATGTGAATGATAACTTATAATGATTTGAAAGAATGAGCACCAGGACTCGTTTTGAAAAAGAGGCTATAGGTAATTCGGAATTGGGCTATTCAATTGATTTATTTTGTAACTTCCCTGTATATATGTTCCGAGAAAGAAATCACTTTCTTTCTCGTATCATAATCTCTTTAATTGAGTTATACTTTTGCTATACAGCTTTTATCAATAGCTGATGTATATAGAGTACTGTAGGTTATTCAAGCTTCAATTTTAATGTTCTGTGATTGTCGATTTTAATTCTAGTTTTCAATTTATAATCATAATAATCAATGTCTTCTTATTTTTAACGGTAAAAATAAGACAATATTTGTTAGTCCTTATGGAAGTGTCAAGTTTGTTACTGCCTTCTTTGACAAAGCCAATTAATTTTTGCGATCAGTTTGATTTCTGTCGTATTAAATAAAGCTGGCTACTTTACAAAATTTTTTTTCAATGAAAATTGATTCCAAACATATTTTTTTCAAAAGTAAATATCCCAGCAGTTTACTTCTCTTTTTCATTAAAAGAAAAGACTGTTTTACCCATTTACCCATGTTTCTGTCTACCCTTTTACTATTTAATATTGTAAACGTTTATCATCATATATAGCAGATATTAGCTTCTAAGATAATAATTTCAATATCCTACGCAATCTAGTTTCCAGGGTCTCTATTCTTTCCTCCCGCAGAACCACGCGGGCATGTAGAAGGGAGACATGGAAACAAAGTTGTATTCCGGATTTCACCAGGGTACAGTGTACGTATGTTCATTAAAAAAATTATTTTAAGACGAGCTGGTCTCAATTTCATTCAATAAAAGCAAGATCTTGAGAACGACTGCAGCGACTTGTGACTGTAGTATCCTATCCTGTTGAGCGAGGAAATAATAAGAGAGGGGCCGGGGAGGAGGTTTTGGACTCGTTTCCACTCTCTCCCGTATTGATTCCACAACTATTAACTTCCCCCCTCTCTTGACAAATCTTACCCTACATTGCAAGTGGCCGCTTAGACCACACCTTGGCCAAACGTGCATCAGGAAAACTTTCGTCCAGGATTAATTAAAAATTATCGGGTTCAATTTCGTGTAAAGATAGAAACTTTTTAAAGAAATAATGACCAGTTTGTAGACCCCAAAAGAACCTCTTTCCCGCAGAAAACAGACAAACTGAATAATCAGTCGAAATCAAATGTCTTCGTACCATGGACAAAGAAAAACTGCACTTGCTAGGGAGGTGTGGTCGTGCACGAGCTGAAGCAGGTGTTAGCTCTTCTTTGTGGCTGATTGCCATGGTGACAGAAAAATTGCGCCAAACTTGAGTATCATTTTCGGCACCACCTGAAAGAAAATAATTTCCGACTAACCGGGGGGGTCAACAATTGGAAAGCAAACCCGCTTAAAACATCACCGCAGGTAACTGTTGGAAAAGTAAGTATGACGAACAAGGCCGCAAAAATAACGTTAGGTTACCTTTTCCAAGAATGCTTTCCGCAAGGTTTTCCAGGTGCACTGAAATCATCACAAGTTTGGGTGCCGTTTGGAATGATTAGCCTTTTGCCTCCTATTCTTCATCATAATTCATTTTGAAAGTAGAATTCGGTCAGTCAAAAAGTCAACTCCAGGAATATTCCACTCTTAAAAGGACTGTTAAAACCTGAATGGGATGTCTGAGATACGCGCATTGTATGTCCTGATTGCATCGCTATTTCTCGCAATGAGGGCTGAAACATATTAACCCGCAGGGTTTAGTTGGTGCGTATTTTTCTTAATTAATTTTCCGCAGGTATACTGCCGCGCACGTGTTTTTTAAGGCTGCTATTTTACCTGTTTCAGAGCAGGTGGCCTCAGTCACTGTGACCCCCTCCCGGCAAACAACACTTTGACACTACTAACACTTGACTTTGCTATCTGCTTTTCTATAGACTTCTATGTGTTATTATTTCTTCAGAGTTCTTCGCTACTAAATACATCCCCTTCTAATTAAACACGATTCGTTTTGCCTTCTTCGGGCGAAAAAAAAACCGAACATTCGAAACATCAGCATCGACCGAACGAACGGCTCTCGATCCATTACGAGATGTCCATTACGAGAGGTGAGCGTTGAAAGAAATCTTTCAATCAAAATGAGTTATTTGAGAATTTAAGTAGTTAATGAGGGATCGACGAGCCCGATATCATTAATATTGAAGTTTTAGATTTTAGATATAAAACGGTGCAATCACAACACATCTTAAAGTCAATTGTGGATATTTGAACTCTTCCTTTCTGCTGTTTGATCTCCTGACTCTGCTAATTGCAACCGTTTTATGAACAGCATCTTACAAAAAACTACGACATGCTCTCCGTTTCACAGTCTAGTGGGGGAAGGAAATGTACCTTATTACTTATTATAGTTTGATCTGTCCTAATTCTGTTATGGTTGCAATCGTTGTATTAACAGTATCTTGCGAAAAATAAGCCATGCTCTCCGTTCGACCGTGTGCAGCGTAAACATAATTACCGGCTCTACTCAAACAAAAAATTTGCCAATTTTACAGTAATTTTAGAATGTCTCGTAAACTGGGCGACTAATTGCTTCTTGAAAATGAAATGTAATAGATATGAAAGAAATACCATTAGTTGTATGATGGAAACATTTTTCAGGCCGCAGTATTCGCTCTTGAACTAGTGAATACGATTATTAAACCTACGTTTGCTCAAAGCTGAAAGAGCAAATGTCTCACATAAAATTTCACATTAGTTCAAATACAGCTGATATCGTGCTAATTGCATCGTTGTCACTTTGCTAAGACAAGTTGTCAAACAACCAAGAAAGCTGTGTCAATATAATAGACTCATTTCCACGACAAAGGTTTAATTTGCTCTTTAAGACACATTCTTCCCGCCATTGTAAGAGAGATCAAAGAGTTGGTTTTTTCTGAGACACAACTTTAGTATAAAATACGCCAAATGATGTGATTTGTACTTTCTTTCTCTCGCTCATGTCTCCCCGAGGGTTTCTTTTTTTCCTCCTAATTTCTAGAATAAGGTACACCGTGTGTCAGGTATATCCTTCCAGACCTATTCTGACCTTTTTATGAAGGACTTTTGCGACTGCTTTCCCTAAAACCTTAGCTGCTGCCTCAGTTTAAGAAATTTACAGACTACAGACGCTTCAAAGAACTTAAAGGTCGCATTTTGGCGAGTGTTAGCGGAAAAACTAAATGGATCCTCAATCCACCCCCCTTAAATCACATTTAATTCCCCCCCCAAATAAAATCCTCCACCCCCTTCATCCAGGGATTAAATAATGACAGGTCTCTTAGGCAGTATGGTGTTATTGAAGTATTAAGACTTCAGGCCTCACTCATTAACTAACCTTGTAATAGGTAATAACTTTGATATTCTTGCCGTCAGTTATTCTTCAGGGATGCGGAGCAGAAACTGTCATTTTCTTCTTATCTGTACTGTCATCAGCCGTCATATCCCCCGTCAGTGGTAAATATTGCGATCACGTGATCACAATGCTCATCGCTCTTGGAGCTGCTTGTCTCACCGGCGACGCGATCTTTCACCTCTTACCGCACGTAAGTAAAACCAACAACTTAAGGAAATTGTGCTCATTCTGAAAGTGTTCAGGGGAATAGAGCTTGTTTTTCAAATGAGATTCTTAAAGCCAAAAGAGAAAGATAATAGGGTGGAATTAAAACGATTGAGGGTATCCTCGACAAAATAACGTTAGATTGCCTCAAGAGAGGGGAGTGAGCAAGTTGCTATAAGTCTCAGCTTTTCATTTGATTGGTTGAGGGGATGGCACAGAGTGGAGTAAGAAAAAACACATGCAATTCTTGATTACCTCTGGCATTCAACTTCAGCAGCACTCCAATCTTAAATTCTTTAGGCATTACATCACCACGACGAAGCTGGTACTACGGAATCTAATCACAGCGTACTTTTATGGCGTTCCTTCTTGGTTGTGTGCAGTATCTATTCCTTCTACCTGTTTCATCTCTTTTTTCAAGTCATGGAGGTAGGTAGAGCAAAATTGAGGTTGGCATGCTTCTCTGCTCTAGCTCTATTTACGTCATTCACTTTGACTGTCACGCAATCTCGTTTTTAGGGTGGTCACGCTCACTCTCATGTCACGTCACCTGATCCACGTGAGGGCAACGGCCTGCTAGAGGCAGAAATGAAAGGCAAGCGTAAGCAGTCTTCGGCCCGAATTAACAAAACTCTTATAGGAATGATGTTATTGGGTAAAGTACTACACACATCGTGCGATGGATTAGCTATAGGGGCAGCCTTCTCAAAATCGGCAGGGGATGGACTCAGTACGACTCTTGCTGTGTTATTTCATGAGATACCGCACGCAATAGGTAAGGAAGTGATCAATACTATATCAATCTTTTATGCTAAACGAGCTCAGCCTCACTATAGTTCTCAGTTCCAACGCTTTTTTTTAGGTTTTGCGCCCTTGGGTTGAAAACTCTTGTCTCGCGTGCACGTAGCGAATATACGTAATGGACAAATTGTAAAGAAGTGACATGTGTGATTTTGTCGAGAACAAAAGAACTTGAAATAATCATAACTTGCATGAAATACCACCCAGATCTGCTCATTATCTCTCTAACCCCCGACGGTGATGAGCATTTTACTTCTTACAACACCATCATTCCTGAATCGAACATCATGACAATAAAACAAGTTATCGCGAACTTAAGAAGCTCTTGATTGTTAAACAAATTCTCTTTGTCAGCACCTTAGAAAAAGTATATAGAACAGTATGGAGAATATGTATTCTGATGTTAGGGTGAAAAGGGCTAAGATCATTGTGATTTTCCGCAGTAGCCAACGTCAACATGTGACATTGCGCAACTTTGTAACATCCTTTTTCTTGGGTTCTATCTATCTACTAAATTGTCACAAGCGGCAGCATTGCCGAAATAAATTTTTTTTGTTTTTCTGATTTCCTCCAGGTACTTTCGCCATCTTTATCTCGTCTGGTCTGTGTATCTGCAGGGCACTGGGTCTGTTATGTTTCTGTTACCTATGCTCATACGCGGGCGTACTTGTAGGAGCGACCCTGAGCACCAGTCCTAATCTAACGCCCTGGATATTTTCCGTTCTAGCAGGAATGTTTCTATATGTTGCACTGGCGGAGATGGTGAGTAGTGATAGCATATTCCCTGTTGATGAAATGGAATGACGCAATCTATAATGCCCGCGGTGCTTGCATGGCATTGCTCCTATGATGTAACATGATATGATCCCCAAGTCGAGACGCCAATGTCTTAGTGTAAAAAATCCAATTCAAGAAACTGGAACTAGCTTGAAAAGAACTTTTGCCAATTATGTTTACTTCGCGCCGTCACGAGCCTGGGACAAAGAATATCGCATTCTGAGTCCCCAACCAAGAAGGATCGAACCTCGAACTTTCGGGGAGACTCTACGGTGGGTCACGCGTTCCTCATACGTGTACTGCCAGATTTGGCAATGTCAAAAGTGTCATGTGCTTAAATAGAATAAGAAAGATCGTAAATTTTAAGTTTGGTATTGAGATAGAAGAAAATATTTTTGACTTTTGTGCTGCAAAGTCACGATGACAACTCCAATTTCAGGTTCCAGAGATGTTCACTAGCATAACATCAAGATCTGATGAACAACGGCAAGTTATATTTCTTCAAAACCTTGGACTTTTGATCGGATTTGCCATTATGATGACACTAGCTGCTTTTGAAGAAACGATAAGGACATCATTGCAGTAGTTAGCACTTAAAATGTTTGTTGTATTCATCCCTCGGCTTCCTTTTTTAACAGCAAAAGTTAAGTGCTGTTAAAGTCAGTCTGCAGAGACTGATTGCAGCGGAATCTTTTCGTAACCAGTTAGAAACAAATGACAATCAGAAACGACAGATGGTGGCGTCCTTTAAATCAATTTGAAAGGAAATCCTTGATTAGGTTCAGGTTCCTTTGGATTTTTCAGTCAGACTACACTTTTTCACTCTTCCATATGATTTTCAAGGTATGGGCTGATTCACTTCTCAACTCAAAGGTCAGAGAAAATATCAGAAACCTATATAATACACAGGCCACTTCAACTTTAAAGTCATCGGGATAATCATAAACAACAACCCAGAGAGGATCAGGCCATGCGCAATACAATCTTCTCTCACAGTAGTTTAATCGCGTGATAGCGCTGATTAAGAGCATGGAAGCAGGCCCATGGAAGTACGCAGATAGGTTAGTTTTTTATTTGATTGGTAAAAATACATTGAAATATTTTCAAAGAAATCTACCCCTTTTGCAAAGAAGTTGACTTTTCAAAATCTCAGAGAGTGCAGTCTTTCTATCTGATAATCCTTGTACACTGATTTCGGTCTTGTCGTTGTAAAATGAAGCTTACAAGGGAGTTAAAACGAAAGAGAGTATATGTTCTTTTTCTACAAAAGGAAGTGAAAGACTTCTCTCTTGTTGCTCTCTAGTTCCCTGGGTCCCTATTCTTTCCTCCCGCAGAACCGCGCGGGCATGTACAAGATAGACATGGAAACGAAGTTGTATTCCGGATTTCACCTGGGTACAGTTTACGTATGTTCATTAAAAAAATTATTTTAAGACGAGCTGGTCTCAATTTCATTCAATAAAAGCAAGATCTTGAGAACGACTGCAGTGACTTGTGACTGTAGTATCCTATCCTGTTGAGCGAGGAAATAATGAGAGGGCCTGGGGAAGAGGTTTTGGACTCGCTCGCACTCTCTCTCGTATTGATTCCACAACTATTAACTTCCCCCCTCTCTTGACAAATCTTAGTTTGCATTGTAAGTGGCCGCTTAGACCACACCTTCGCCCAACGTGCATCAGCAAAACTTTCGTCCACGGTTACTTGAAAACTCTTGGGTTCAATAGTGTAAAAATGGAAATTTTTAAGGAAATGACGACCAGCTGGTAGACTTCAAAAGAGCCCTTTCCCGCAGAAAACAGACAAACTGAATAACCAGTCAAAATCAAATGTCTTCTTACCATGGACAAAGAAAACCTGCACGCGCTAGGGAGGCGTGATCGCGCACGAGTTGAAGCAGGTGTTAGCTCTTCTTTGTGGCTGATTGCCATGGTGACAATCGTGTCTAGAAAAATTGTGCCAAACTTGAGTATCATTTTCGGCACCACCTGAAAGAAAATAATTTCCGACTAACTGGGGGGTCAACAATTAGAAAGCAAACCCGCTTAAAACATCATCACAGGTAACTGTTGGAAAGGTAAGTATGACGAACTAGGTCGCAAAAGTAACGTTCTGTTACCTTTTCCTAGAATGCTTTCCGTAAGGTTTTCCAAGTACGCTAAAATATTATCACAAGTTTGGGTGCCGTTTGGAATGATTAGCCTTTTGTCTCCTCTTCTATATCAGAATCTATTTTGAAAGTAGTATTCGGTCAGTCAAAAAGTCAACTCCAGGACTATTTCACTCTAAAAAGGACTGTTAAAAGGTGAATGGAATATATGAGATACGCACAGCGTATGTCCTGATTGCATAGGTTAGTATTCTAGCTAAGACTAAATTAAACCAAGGTAAGCGCTCGTTATTTCTCGCAATGAGAGTTCCAACATGTTAGCCCGCGGGTTTTCCCGGTGCGAATTTTTCTTCATCTTCTGCAGGTATACTGCCGCGCACGTGTTATTCAAAGCTGCTATTTTACCTGTTTCAGAGCTGGTGGTTTCAGTCACTGTCACCCCTTCCCGGTAAAAAACACTTTGACACTGCAAACAGTTGACTTTGCTATCTGCTTTTCTATAGGCATTTATGTGGCACTATTTCTTCAGAGTTCTCCACTACTAAAAAGACGTCCCCTTCTAATTAATCACGATTCATTTTACCTTCTTCGGGCGAAAAAAAACCCGAACATTCGAAACATCGGCATCAACCGAACGAACGGCTCTCGATCCACTTCGAGATGTCCATTACGAGAGGTGAGCGTTTAAAGAACTCTTTTAATCAAAATGAATTATTTGAGAATTTAAGTAGTTAATAAGGGATCGACGAGCCCGATATCATTGATTTTGAAGTTTTAGATCTTAGATATAAAACGGTGAGATAACCACTCATCTTAAAGTCAGTTGTTAATATTTGAACTCTTCCTTTCCGTTGTTTGATCTCGTCTGACTCTGCTAATTGCGACCGTTGTATAAACAGCATCTTCCCAAAAACTACGACATG